TGAGAAGTGTGAGCAACAAGGGTGATGTTGTGGTCGGAGTCTGCTATAGACCACCAGACCAGGGGGATGAGGTAAACGAGGCTTTCTTCTGGCAACTAGCAGAAGTTGCTAGATCGCAGGCCCTGGTTCTCATGGGAGACTTTAATCACCCTGATATCTGCTGGGAGAGCAATACAGCGGTGCACAGACAATCCAGGAAGTTTTTGGAAAGTGTAGGGGACAATTTCCTGGTGCAAGTGCTGGAGGAACCAACTAGGGGCAGAGCTCTTCTAGACCTGCTGCTCACAAACAGGGAGGAATTAGTAGGGGAAGCAAAAGTGGATGGGAACCTGGGAGGCAGTGACCATGAGATGGTCGAGTTCAGGATCCTGACACAAGGAAGAAAGGAGAGCAGCAGCAGAATACGGACCCTGGACTTCAGAAAAGCAGACTTTGACTCCCTCAGGGAACAGATGGGCAGGATCCCCTGGGAGAATAACATGAAGGGCAAAGGGGTCCAGGAGAGCTGGCTGTATTTTAAAGAATCCTTATTGTGGTTGCAGGAACAAACCATCCCGATGTGTAGTAAGAATAGTAAATATGGCAGGCGACCAGCTTGGCTTAACAGTGAAATCCTTGCTGACCTTAAACGCAAAAAAGAAGCTTACAAGAAGTGGAAGATTGGACAAATGACCAGGGAGTAGTATAAAAATATTGCTCAGGTATGCAGGAGTGAAATCAGGAAGGACAAATCGCACTTGGAGTTGCAGCTAGCAAGAGATGTTAAGAGTAACAAGAAGGGTTTCTTCAGTTATGTTAGCAACAAGAAGAAAGTCAAGGAAAGTGTGGGACCCTTACTGAATGAGGGAGGCAACCTAGGCTATGTCTTCACTACCCGCCGATCCGGCGGGTAGCAATCGGTCTATCGGGGATCGACTTACCGCGTCTAGTGAAGACGCGGTAAAATCGATCCCTGATCGCTCTGCCGTCGACTCCGGAAATCCACCTCGGCAAGAGGCGGCAGCGGAGTCGGCGGCAGCGCGGCAGCGGTCGACTTTCCCGCGTCCTCACCGCCAGGTAAGCCGACCTAAAATACGCAACTTCAGCTACGGTATTCACGTAGCTGAAGTTGCGTATCTTAGGTCGGACCCCGGCTGTAGTGTAGACCCAGCCTTAGTTACTGAGGATGTGGAAAAAGCTAATGTACTCAATGATTTTTTTGCCTCTTTCTTCACAAACAAGGTCAGCTCCCAGACTGCTGCACTGGGCAGCACAATATGGGGAGAAGGAGACCAGCCCTCTGTGGAGAAAGAAATGGTTCGGGACTATTTAGAAAAACTGGACGTGCACAAGTCCATGGAGCCGGATGCGCTGCATCCAAGGGTGCTAAAGGAGTTGGCGGATGAGATTGCAGAGCCATTAGCCATTATTTTTGAAAACTCATGGCGATCAGGGGAGGTTCCGGATGACTGGAAAAAGGCTAATGTAGTGCCCATCTTTAAAAAAGGGAAGGAGGAGGATCCAGGGAACTACAGGCCAGTCAGCCTCACCTCAGTCCCTGGAAAAATCATGGAGCAGGTCCTCAAGGAATCAATTATGAAACACTTAGAAGAGAGGAAAGTGATCAGGAACAATCAGCATGGATTCACCAAGGGGAAGTCGTGCCTGACTAACCTAATTGCCTTCTATGATGAGATAACTGGCTCTGTGGATGAGAGGAAAGCAGTGGATGTGTTATTCCTTGACTTTAGCAAAGCTTTTGATACGGTCTCCCGCAGTATTCCTGCTGCCAAGTTAAAGAAGTATGGGCTGGATGAATGGACTGTAAGGTGGATAGAAAGCTGGCTAGATCGTCGGGCTCAACGGGTACTGATCAATGGCTCCATGTCTAGTTGGCAGCCAGTTTCAAGCGGAGTGCCCCAAGGGTCGGTCCTGGGGCTGGTTTTGTTTAATATCTTTATTAATGATCTGGAGGATGGAGTGGACTGCACTCTCAGCAAGTTTGCCGATGACACTAAACTAGGAGGCGTGGTAGATACACTAGAGGGTAGGGATCGGATACAGAGGGACCTAGACAAATTAGAGGATTGGGCCAAAAGAAACCTGATGAGGTTCAACAAGGACAAGTGCAGAGTCCTGCACTTAGGACGGAAGAATCCCATGCACAGCTACAGACTAGGGACCGAATGGCTAGGTAGCAGTTCTGCAGAAAAGGACCTAGGGGTCACAGTGGACGAGAAGCTGGATATGAGTCAACAGTGTGCTCTTGTTGTCAAGAAGGCTAACGGCATTTTGGGCTGTACAAGTAGGGGCATTGCCAGCAGATCGGGGGACGTGATCGTTCCCCTTTATTCGACATTGGTGAGGCCTCATCTGGAGTACTGTGTCCAGTTTTGAGCCCCACACTACAAGAAGGATGTGGAAAAATTGGAAAGAGTCCAACGGAGGGCATCAAAAATGATTAGGGGTCTGGAGCACATGACTTATGAGGAGAGGCTGAGGGAACTGGGATTGTTTAGTCTCCAGAAGAGAAGAATGAAGGGGGATTTGATAGCAGCCTACAACTACCTGAAGGGGGGTTCCAAAGAGGATGGAACTCGGCTGTTCTCAATGGTGGCAGATGACAGAACAAGGAGCAATGGTCTCAAGTTGCAGTGGGGGAGGTCTAGGTTGGATATTAGGAAACACTATTTCACTAGGAGGGTGGTGAAGTACTGGAATGCGTTACCTAGGGAGGTGGTGGAGTCTCCTTCCTTGGAGGTTTTTAAGGCCCGGCTTGACAAAGCCCTGGCTGGGATGATTTAGTTGGGAATTGGTCCTGCTTTGAGCAGGGGGTTGGACTAGATGACTTCCTGAGGTCCCTTCCAACCCTGATATTCTATGACTTTCAGATTCTGTTTTCCAGGTGACTAATGTATCGTTACCTTGTTTTGAAAATGCTGCCTGGTTTCACTGCAAATACTCACAGGGAGCATTGCACCCTGAAGGAGTAACGGAGAGCTCTCCCATAGGGGTCTGGCTTGGCTGGATTCAGTCCAGAGAGCCAGGGAGAGAGAGTGGGATTGACAGTGTCCAATGGCACGATTTCAGAGTCTTGGAGGATGCAGGCCTGCCCTGGGGAAGTGTGTGGATCTCGGCACACTAAAGGGGGGAGGATGTCACTCCCAAGGGACTGGTTACAGGCAGGGACATGGACCAGACAGGGAGAGATACAAAATTGACAAGAAGCTACTTTGAGGTTTAAATGATTTGCACTGATGGAAAATGGTGGATTTATGAATTTAGTAATGGAACATAGACATAGGTAATACAAACTTTGTAATGATTCATCCTTGACCTGTGGCCTAACTGAGGAAACATTACAAAGTTTATGTATTGATTAATCTTAGGCTAGGTCTACACTACAGCGGTGTTCCGACCTAAGATACGCAACTTCAGCTACGTGAATACCGTAGCTGAAGTTGCGTATTTTAGGTCGGCTTACCTGGTGGTGAGGACGAGGGAAAGCCGACCGCTGCCGCCGACTCCGCTGCCGCCTCTTGTCGAGGTGGATTTCCGGAGTCGACGGCAGAGCGATCAGGGATCGATTTTACCGCGTCCTCACGAGACGCGGTAAGTCGATCCCCGATAAACCGATTGCTACCCGCCAGATCGGCGGGTAGTGAAGACGTAGCCTTTGTCTGCAGTGGTCAATAAGGGTTTGGTCTCCTGAGCAGTTACAGCATCAGGAAAATTATTATCAGTGTCATTAGAATGAGAGACCTGATGAGGAGATGAGAAAATTTGCAATTTACCACAAGTTCCCTTTTTAACAAATCCACTAAATAACTCCCACAAACACTGAAATACAACAGCAGATAGAGAGAGTGAGTGCAAAGTGTTTACCCCTATGACTGTGATCACTCACATTTCCTGCTGGGAAGCCTTCTCCCTTGTCTTCATTGTTACAGTCACCAGTGGATTTCGTTGTGGCATTTCCAAGGCATGCAGGCTGGGATACAGTTTTTAAAGGTGTTACGCTGTTGCCCACTGGGGTTCATATATATTTATGGAGGTTTCAACCCCATTTCCTTATTTGAACTTCTACACTTAACTATGTTTGGGGTCCCCTATTTTTCATAGGTTAACTTGTTAGTTCCCCTTATACTCATTACAGTTTACATTAATCAGTCACCATAGCTTGATGCCTATACAGTAGAACCCTGTTTATTTGACCCTCCCTTAACTGGCTCTCTGGATTTACTGAACACCCAGGACTCCACTTTTGATTATTTGATCTGGCCCTGGTCCCAATTAGACTGGATAAATGGGTTCTACTGTATTTGCAAAAATCTCCAAAATACTTTAACTGGTACGTTACTGTATATATTTCCTAAATATCCGCAGTTAATACATCTATTCATGTGACTGTCTTATCTTGTGACATAGTCACACATAGGCTGATGTGAGAAGCTAACCAATTTTTAGATTGGAGGCCTTGTTTGGATAAGTTAAATATCTTGCTGGTCTGAGGCATGTAGGCCCAGTATTACAAATTTCACTTCTACATCCTGAATATACCTGATAAGTTTTATCCTTGGCTACAGACCTAAAGAGGATCAATCCCTGTGGGTATCAGCAGTTCAGGTTCTGACACCTGTTACCCTGTATCTCTGACAGTGACAAGGATGCAGAGTTAGAGGGTGGTAGTTGACGGAAAAGCCATCAGAGGGTAACCAGTGGCCTGAACCATGTTTAAAATAGTGATCTAAATGTGATAATTTTTTAATCTGTCTGCATCAAATGGCTTTTTATAGTGCTTATTTACCACAATATCTCAGCACTAGCATACTATTAAAATCCTGTTCATATCCTATTCTCCTCTGAGCCTTTCAGTCCTTGCCAAAGAGCAAATGTGAGCAGAATATTTCTGAGATTTTTGAAGAAAGTATTTTGCCAAGGTGACTTGTTCTAACTTCTTTAATCCGATACATTGAATGAATTTATCAATGAATTGTTCCATTGATGTTTTTGTTTTCCAGGCCGTGACAGCCCTAGTGAAGAACTATCCTAAACACATGGTTTCCTCCATGCAGCAGATCCTGCCGATTGTTTGGAATACACTTACAGAAAGTGCAGCCTTATATCCTTTTTCCTAATGGTGTGTGGTTTAAAATAGAATAAAAGAGCTCTTGAGGCGTCTCATAAGAAGAAAGCAATTGTACACAGATCTTGTGCACAGATCTTGTACATTGCTCTTCAATTTGCCTACAGCTATCAGTTTACCATGACAGACAGGAAACAAAAGAAACAACTGGTTACATAAGCCTCAAATAACTTACTGCCCTTACTGTCTTACCAACTAATTCATAGATTTTTAAAACCAAAATGGACCATTGTGATCAATAGTCCAAGAATTTCACCCATCATGCCTGTTAACCTGTGGTTAAACTAGAGCATTTCTTCTAGAGCTGGGGGGTCAAAGTAATTTCATAAGGTGTGCCTGATCTAACACCTTGCTACTTGGCTCAGGCCAATTTTGCTAGATTCCTGTACAGCAAACCTGGTTGGTCTTTAAATGCATACTAATGCTACTCACTGGGATTGGACCTACCTTCATGTAGGTATGGGGAGGGGACCGTGACAAGTCGATTATGGTCATTCTAATTAAAAAAAATAATAATAATAAAGGGCTTGTCTACATGGCCCCAGAGTTTGCACTATGGGGCTATGATTTGTAGAGTACTGCACTCTATCTCCCCTGTGTGGACCCTGCTGGTGTGTTCTAAGTATGCATTGGTGTAATCCTGTTTCAAACACAACTACATCAATGGATGCTAGCAGGTACTACATGGGGATTTAAAGCACAATTCACTGATGTGCTCTCAAATCACACCCCAGTAGTGTGAATTCTGGGTCTTGTGTAAACAAGCCTGAAGTTTCATGGGAAGTCTGTGGCAGGGTGGATTTGATTTAAATCACTAGTCAGGAAGACTCTATTTAATCATGGTTTTCTACATAAAAGTGCCTTCTTGTTGGTTGTTATAACCTTAATACATATTCTTCACAACTCAGAGATAGATGTAGGTTTCATTTTTAGAAGGTACACACTATACATTTTTAAACAGTGATTTATTTTGAAAAATTTTCAGATTAGTTTTACAGCTATATCAGAAAATGAATGATTGGTTATTTCATTTACCAAAGGTAATTGAAGCAGATAGTTCACTTCCCAATGACTCCATAAATATCTTCAATTCAACAGGTTGATCATTAATATTTGGAGGATTTTCTTGCCATGCTGTATTAGGAGGAGAATATCACCAGACAGACATTTACTGTATATACTCGTTCATAAGCTGAATTTTTTTAGTAAAAAAGGGAAGCACCAGAGAAGGGGGTTGGCTTATGAATGGGTATAGAGAGGGAGAGGTGGGACACAGCCTCTCCCCCTAACAGAGGGAGCAAGGAGAGGCAGCACAGCCAGCAGAGCCAGAAGGGAAGAGGTGGGACCAGAGTCTCTCCGCTTCTGGCCACGATGCTCTCCCCCTAGCCTTCGAAGCAGCTGCAGCTCCGGGACTGGCAGGCTGCAGCCATGCTGCTCGGCCCCGCCACCCAGAGCAGGCTCTGGCCACGCCGCCTGGCCCGCCGGAGCAGGCTGCGGCCGTGCCACCCGGCCTAGCCCGCTGGAACATGCTGCGGCCACGCCGCCTGGTCTGGTAACCCAGTCCGGTGCTTCACACCCTCCTAGTGAAAGTGTTTCCTAATATCCAACCTAGACCACCCCCACTGCAACTTGAGACCACTGCTTCTTGTTCTGTCATCTGCCACCACTGAGAACAGCTGAGCTCCATCCTCTTTGGGAACCCCCCTTCAGGTAGTTGAAGACTGCTATCAAATCCCCCCACACTCTTCTCTTTTGCAGACTAAACAAGCCCAGTTCCCTCAGCCTCTTCTCGTAAGTCATGTGCCCCAGCCCCCTGATCATTTTTGTTGCCCTCCACTGGACTCTCTCCAATTTGTCCACATCCTTTCTGTAGTGGGGGGCCCAAAACGGGATGCAGTACTCCAGATGTGGCCTCACCAGTTCTGAATAGAGGGGAATAATCACTTCCCTCAATCTGCTGGCAGTGCTCCTACTAATGCAGTCCAATATGCCGTTAACCTTCTTGGCAACAAGGGCACATTGCTGACTCATATCCAGCTTCTCATCCACTGCAGTCCCCAGGTCCTTTTCTGCAGAACTGCTGCTTAGCCAGTCGGTCCCCAGCCTGTAGCGATGCATGGGATTCTTCCGTCCTACGTGCAGGACTCTGCACTTGTCCTTGTTGAACCTCCTCAGATTTCTTTTGGCCGAATCCTCCAATTTGTCTAGGTCACTCTGGACCCTATCCCTACCCTCCAGCGTATCTACTTCTCCCCCCAGCTTAGTGTCATCTATGAACTTGCTGAGGGTGCAATCCATCCCATCATCCAGATAATTAATAAAGATCTGACCCCTGCGGCACTCCGCTTGATACCGGCTGCCAACTAGACATCGAGCCGTTGATCACTACCCTTTGAGCCCGACAATCTAGCCAGCTTTCTATCCACCTTATAGTCCATTCATCCAATCCATACTTTTTTAACTTGCTGGCAAGATCTTGGTACATATCTTCGTACAGTGGCTGGTTACACTTACTGTTAAAGATGCATCTTATTTCCAGTTTGATTTTTCTGACTTCAGCAGTTACATCTTGCTATGCCTTTGTCTGCTAGATTAAGGAGTCCTCTATTTCAGGGGTGGCCAACCTGTGGCTCCAGAGCCACATGCGACTCTTCAGAAGTTAATATGCGACTCCTTATATAGGCACCAACTCCGGGGCTGGAGCTACAGGCGCCAACTTTCCAATGTGCCAGGGGGTGCTCAACCCCTGGCTCTGCCACAGGCCTTGCACTTACCTCAGGGCTTTGGTCTCCTTCCCCCGGTGAACCTAGTTTAAAGCCCTCCTCACTAGGTTAGCCAGCCTGCTTGCGAAGATGCTCTTCCCTCTCTTCGTTAGGTGGAGCCCGTCTCTGCCTAGCACTCCTCCTTCTTGGAACACCATCCCATGGTCGAAGAATCTTGTAGCTGTTCTCTGAACCCATATTTTAGTACCTTTTTTTAAAAAGTGTGAACATCAGAACTGGACACCATATTTCAGTAGTAGTTAAAGAAGTGAGTGAAGGAATTCCACACTCACCCTTTTGACTGGAGAGGCTATGGTTCTAGAGATTGCAGAGTCCCAGGCCACTTTATATCAATAGCCCAGGCATGGTCTTTCTCTTCTTTTATCATAGAACTGGAAGGGACCTTGAGGAATCATCTAGTCCAGTTCCCTGCACTCAAGGCAGGACTAAGTATTATCTATACCATCCCTGACAGGTGTTTGTCCAACCTGCTCTTAAAAATCCCCAATGATGGCGATTCCACAACCTCCCTAGGCAATTTATTCCAGTGCTTAACCACCCTGACAGTTAGGAAGTTTTTCCTAATGTCCAACCTAAACCGTCCTTGCTGCAATTTAAGCCCATTGCTTCTTGTCCTATCCTCAGAGGTTAAGAAGAACAATTTTTCTCCCTCCTCCTTGTAACAACCTTTTATGTACTTGAAAAAGGTTATCATGTCTCCTCTGTCTTCTCTTCTCCAGACTCAACAAACCCAGTTTTTTCAATCTTCCCTCATAGGTCATGTTTTCTAGACTTTTAATCACTTTTGTTGCTCTTCTCTGGACTTCCTTCAATTTGTCTACATCTTTCCTGAAATGTGGCACCCAGAACTGGACACAGTACTCTAGCTGAGGCCTAATCAGCGCAGAGTAGAGCAGAAGAATTACTTCTCGTGTCTTGCTTACAATACTCCTGCTAATACATCCCAGAATGATGTTCGCTTTTTTTGCACCAGCGTTACACTGTTGACTCATATTTAGCTTGTGATCCACTATGATCCCCAGATCCCTTTCCACAGTACTCCTTCCTAGGCAGTCATTTCCCTTTTTTTATGTGTGCAACTGATTGTTCCTTCCTAAGTGGAGTACTTTGCATTTGTCCTTATTGAATTTCATCCTATTTTCTTCAGACCATTTCTCCAGTTTATCCAGATGATTTTGAATTTTAATCCTATCCTCCAAAGCACTTGCAACCACTCCCAGCTTTTTATCGTCCGCAAACTTTATACGTGTACTCTCTATGTCATTATCTAAATCATTGATGAAGATCCTGAACAGAACCAGACCCAGAATTGATCCCCCCACTCATTATGCCCTTTCAGCATGACTGTGAACCACTGATAACTACTCCCTGGGAACGGTTTTCCACCTTATAGTGGCTCCATCTTGGTAGTATTTCCCTAGTTTGTTTTATGAGAAGGTCATGCGAGACAGTATCAAAAGCTTTACTAAAGTCAAGATATACCGCATCTACTGCTTCTTCCCTATCCACAAGGCTTGTTAGCTTTCTTTTACAGGGTATCAGGTTGGTTTAACACGATTTGTTCTTGACAAATCTATGCTGACTGTTACTTATCACCTCATTATCTTCTAGGTGTTTGCAAATTGATTTCTTAATTATTTGCTCCATTATCTTTCTGGGTACAGAAGTTAAGATGACTGGTCTGTAATTCCCCGGGTTGTCTTTATTTTCCTTTTTATAGTTGGGCATTATATTTGCCCTTTTCCTGTCTTCTGGAATGTCTCCTGTCTTCCATGACTTTTCAAAGATAATTTCTAATGGCTCAGATATCTCCTCAGTCAGCTCTTTGAGCAGTCTAGGATGCATTTAATCAGGCCCTGGTGATTTGAAGACATCTAACTTGTCTAAGTAATTTTTGACTTGTTCTTTCCCTATTTTATACTCTGATCCTACCTCATTTTCACTGGCATTCACTATGTTAGACGTCCAATCGCCACCAACCTTCTTGGTGAAAACCAAAACAAAGTAATTAAGCACCTCTACCATTTCTACATTTTCTGTTATTGTCCCCCCCCCATCATTGAGTAACGGGCTAATCGGAACATCTTGTGTTCTAAAATCTTGCTGCTATATGTTGGATGGTATATACAGCTACGTTTAGGAGCATAGAGGATTAAAAGGAGTAAAAAGAATTGCTAGAAGGTTTTAGCTTCACAGAATGGTGTTTTGGGTGTCAGTATCACTGAGAAATATTTTCTAGTGGATCACTCTTAATTTGACTTGTAACTTGGATCTTTCTCTTAGACTTTCTCCTTTTTTTGCTGGTGTAAATTTTCAGTTAGAAACCAAACTTTCTGCCCCGTGGTTCCATTGATATTAAAATCTCATTAGTGAGAATGAAGTTTTAGATCATACCTTCCCTCATCCACACACTATCCTCAGTGGATTTTTAAAATGAATCAAAAGATGTCATCTGAAATCTGTCAATGAACATAATTATGTTGTCTGTCTTTAACAAATCTACTTGGAAAAATTAATACAGGTTACTCTTGCTTTTATACATTTCATGTTTAATTATTCTACTTGAAATACAATGATGACTTTTTGCTGTAATGTGAAAACTAATTTGCTTTAGGAAATCATATAAAGACTTAATAATTTGAGTGGGTTTGTTACTGAATAGAAGCAATCCTCTAATAATGTGTAAGCTAAACAGGTGCTCTTATTTACTTAACTACTTGCTATACCTATGTGAGAACAGAAGTGAATTATACAGAAGAGGTAGAGGACCCTGTGGATTCTGATGGTAAGTGCTAGTAATGATACACTTCTGTTCTCTGTAGGGAGAGAGTAGGGAAACGCATCTAAACAAATACTGATTTCAGAACAATGACCTAGACAAATTTGTATTCCTGTTTCTGTATATACTGTTCGCTTATATGCAACTGTGGTGGTGAAGTGGGGTTTGACGTTCTGTGAGTTACACCAAAGGATTGTAGTTCATTGATTTTCCAGCTAGCATTGAAGAGTAAGGCTATTGTTAAAGGGACACTGGTTACATTCTTTTAAAAATGCAATCATTTCCTTGTCTGTTAAAAAATCCCTGGCCATATGTGTAATTTTTATCTCCTTGGCCATGAAGAACACAGGACTTCTGTCAAAACTGGACAGTGTTGCCACTTAATCATTCCAAGAGGGTGCTATGAAATGCAAGGGGTGGCAGGCTTCTCCTAAGGTGGAACAGTGTTGTCTCAGCAGTAGTCCCAGCTCTCGCTACCCCAGGAGTGAGACCAGAGATTATCCTGCCTGACCTGTTAACAGACTGTAATATTAATATTTGCCAGTCATTTATGCAGGTCCATGATTCGACACAGTCAGTTGTGAAACTTTCCCCTTGTTTCTTTGTTCAGGTGAAGTGTTGGGCTTTGAAAACCTAGTGTTCAGCATATTTGAGTTTGTACATGCCTTGCTGGAAAATCACAAATTTAAAAGCACAGTGAAGAAAGCTTTGCCAGAGCTGATATATTACATCATTCTCTACATGCAGATCACAGAGGAGCAGGTAAGTGAACATGTAGAAAGTAAAAGAGGCAAACAATGGAATACTGTTCACATGAGAGATTAAAACTAGCAGATGAAGCACTAGAAAGGATTTGGGTGGGAAGGAGTTATGATTAAGGCTATCTTTTAGTCACGGGCATTTTTAGTAAAAGTCATGGACAGGTTACGGGCAATAAACAAAAAGTCATGGCCCCATGACCTGTCCATGACTTTTACTAAAAATACCTGTGACTAAATCTTCTCTGCTGGGAGGGGGGCGCTCCTGAAGACTGCCGCTGAGGGGGGCGGGGTCCGCCAGCAGTCCTGGACCACTGCTCCAGGGCACTGCCAGGGACCAGCTGCCTGGGGCTGCCAGAGCAGCGGCTGGCCCGGGGCTTCTCCAGCTGCTGGTGTGGTCCTGGGGTCAGCCACACCAGCACTGCAAAATTCATGGAGGTCACGGAAGCCATGACTTCCGTGAATGATTCACAGCCTTAATCATAACTGAATAGGTGTCTTCTGTTTATTTCCTATGTTTATTAGTCACAGAGGTTAAGGCCAGAAGGAACCACTAGATCATCTTGTCTGACCTCCTGTATATCACAGGCCACCAACGCCACCCAGCACCACACACTAAACCCAACAGAAATGAGACCAAAGTAAATGAGTCCCACAGGAGACTATACTATTGTGTGCCGCAGGCAGAGAATAGGAGGGACCAAGGTGACCCAGTGCTAGAGGCCCCGATAATGGCAGGGCAATGATCAAATGAGAGAGACACAGATAATCCTGGCAAGTGACCTATACCCACACACTGGAGGGGAAGGCAAAAACCCTCAGGGTCACTTTCATTCTGACCTGGGGGGAAATTTCTTCCTGACCCCCCATATGGCGATCTGTTAGATCCTGAGACTGTGAGCAAGAATCAGCCAGACAAGGACCCGAGAGAGAGAGAGACTGCTGATGCTATCTCAGAGCCCTGGCTCACCCCACCTAGTGGCCTGTCTCCAGTCATGGCCATCCCTGATGCTTCAGAGAAAGCAGACTTAAAAAAAAAAACAACCCTCCGAGAATACACTGTGGGGAATGGAATTCCTTTCTGACCGCTGCTGGTAATTGCTGAAGCCCTTCTCCCCCTCTCTCTCCCCGTCACAAACATAAGAACATAAGGGCGGCCATACTGAGTTAGACCAAAGATCCATCTAGCCCAGTATCCTGTCTTCCGACAGTGGCCAATGCCAGATTCCCCAGAGGGAATGAACAGAACAGGTAAACATCAAGTGATCCATTCCTTGTCACCCATTCCCAGCTTCTGGCAAACAGAGGCTAGGGACACCATCCCTGCCCATCCTGGCTAATAGCCATTGATGGACCTATTCTCCATGAATTTATCTAGTTATTTTTTGAACTCTGTTATAGTCTTGGCCTTCACAACATCCTCTGGCAAGGAGTTCCACAGATTGACTGTATGTTGTGTGAAAAAATACTTCCTTTTGTTTGTTTTAAACCTGCTACCTATTAATTATATCGGATAACCCCTAGTTCTTCTTCGAGTGATTGTTCATGTCCATTCCAAGCAGGTGTGTGCGCGCCGCGTGCACGCCAGCTGGAAGATTTTACTATAGTAGCGTCCGTAGGGTCGGCTTCGGCGCCCCCTAGAGTGGCGCCTTCATGGCGCTGTATATAGGGGCCAGCCGACCCTCCACCCCCTCAGTTCCTTCTTACCGCCGGTGACGGCTAGCTGGAACTTCGCTTGCTCTTCAGCAATCGTAGCAGTGTTCCATCGTTGTTGTTGTAAATGGTTAGTTTGTTGTTAAGTGTTAGCTTAGTTAGTTATTACTTGGGGGGGTTTCCCAAGTTTTCGTTGCCCTGCTGGGGCATGCCCGGGTCCCCAGGGTTCAAACTCTGCCGGGACTGCGGGAAATTCATGCCGAAGAGTGACCCGCACTCTTCGTGCTTGAGGTGCCTAGGCGAGAGCCACCAAAAAGACAGGTACAGTATCTGCAGGGCTTTTCGCCCCAGGACTCTCAAAGATAGAGAGCAGAGACTTAAAGTCCTCCTAATGGAGGCGGCCCTGCGGCCGCAATCAGATCCCGGGCCTACTGAGACGGCACCGAGCACTTCATCCTCGGTGCGCAGTGCTCCGGCGCCGGAGATGAGTCGTGAGGCCAAGGCCACCAAACCCCGGCACCGGTGAGAGTCGGCGCACAAGAAACAGTCCTCTGTGAGACACCGTTCCCCATCGCCAGTGCCGGTTAAAAAGAACAGGCCAGTGAGGGATTGTTCTCCACACCGGGACTCTAAAGGGCCAGCGCCGTCCGCATCTACTACGGGACAATTCGTGCCACAGACTCATCCGGCCATCCCGTTGACTCCCGCCCCGGAGAGGGTACGGTCGAGTCCAGAAAGGCCTAGATCCCCGGACACGATGGAGGAAGTGTGCCTCCCATCGACGCCGGAGGCGTTCGAGGCCGCCTCAGACCTCTTGAACCTCCCGGTGCCGGCGTCGCTGCACCAATGCAGAGAACCTCTGGCTACCGCTCGGTCCCATTATCAATCTAGGGGTAAACCGGCATTGCTCTCGCCACGCCACTCGAGCGGCACCGGTGCAGACAGCACCCTCTACGGCGACAGTGGGTACCACGCCTCCTATGTCCTCCTACTTGGAAACTTCGGACTCGCAGGTGGACTCGTACCGCTCTAACAGATCGAGAAGTAGGTGATCGTCGTCGCGTACGAGTGCCCAGCCATACCCACCACAGTGGCAGCAGCAGCAGTGGCAACTGCCCCCCCAGTGGCCGTTCTGGACGCCGTTGGCCTACCACCAGTCAGTGGGTCAGGCGTACGGACCCCGCTCACGAGCCGCATCTGTCTCTTCGACGTCCGCGGTACCGCCGCTAATGCCACCACCACCGGCACCACCGTCTGACAGGAGTGTGCCACAGAGGGACACAGCACCGCCTAGCCAGACAGCGGCACCGATGGGGACCTTGCTCCCAGCACTGCAGGCACCACCCAGCACGCCTTGTCGCTCGGTGTCGACCCCGGTACTGGCCGCGGTGCCGCATTCTGAGTCTGCACCGGCCGCGCAGCCTGAGTACCGTGTGCCGCAGGCCCTCATAGAGGGAGAGGGGGTAGATGAAGGCCCTCTTCAAGGGATCTCTTCCTCCTCATCTCCGGATGAGGCAGTAGCGGGAACGTCAACGGCACCGGCCCTGGAGGACAATAGGATCCTCCAACAACTGCTTACTCGAGCAGCCCAAAGCCTCTCGATCCAGACTGAGGAGATCGAGGTGGACACGGATCCGGTGATTGATATTCTGACCCCGTCAGGCCCATCCAAGGTAGCCCTACCTCTCATAAAGACCATTACGGACACATCCCGCACCTTGTGGCAAACCCCTGCCTCTTTGGCCCCTACGGCCAAAAGGACTGAGAGGCGATATTTCGTTCCAACCAAGGGCTATGAACATCTTTATACACACCCTCCCCCGGACTCCCTGGTGGTGGATGCCGCCAACCAGATGGAGCGCCAGGGTTTTCAGGGGGCTACGCCTAAGAATAGAGAGGCCAAAAAGTTGGATCTGTTCGGGCGCAAGGTTTATTCAACGGGGGGCCTGCAGTTGCGCATTGCCAATCAGCAAGCCATAGTGAGCCGGTATGGACACAACACGTGCTCGGCTTTGTCTAGGTTCACGGACCTCCTTCCGCAGGAGTCGCGAACTGAGTTTTCAGCCCTGGTTGAGGAGGGAAGATTGATTACCCGGGCTTCTCTACAGGCGTCCCTGGATGCGGCCGATTCAGCTTCACGCACATTGGCGACTGGTCTGGTCATGAGGCGTGGAACCTGGCTTCAAGTATCCGGCCTCCCTCACGAGGTCCAACAAACGATCCAGGACCTCCCTTTCGAAGGGCCCACGCTCTTCTCGGAGAAAACCGATAAGAGGCTTCATAGCCTAAAAGGACTCACGGACCACTCTCCGTTCACTAGGCCTCCACACCCCTGTCACTCAGCGGAGACAGTTTAGGCCACCACAGGCCCCTCGGCCGTACCAACCTCAAAATCGAGGGGATGCCTTGCGCAGAAGGCCAAGAACGGGCAGGAGGAGGCAACAACAGCAGCCCTTCGGACAGTCTTCTACCCAACCAAGGCCTACACAGGGGCCTAGACCACCATTTTGATGGCCCGGTCGAGGACGACCTCCCGGTCAGAACTCTGGATCCTACCAACCTTACCTTTTCGTCACGTCTGTCCCCCTTCTATCGTGCGTGGGCCCGGGTCACATTCGACGCTTGGGTGCTTTGCACGGTAAAGGAGGGATAATCTATCCAGTTTTTCTCCCTCCCGCCCCACCAGCCCCCCTCCCTGTCCCTCTTCAGGGACCCTTGTCATGAGCAACTTCTACTTCAAGAAGTTCAGTCCCTCCTCGCATCAGGGGCAGTAGAGGAGGTTCCTCAGGAGCTACGGGGCAAGGGCTTCTATTCTCGATATTTCCTAATACCGAAAGCGAAAGGGGGCCTCAGACCCATTCTAGACTTGCGCGGTCTCAACAAGTTTGTGAAGAAGCTCAAGTTCCGCATGCTCTCCCTGTCCTTCATCATTCCTTCCATGGATCCAGGAAACTGGTATGCCGCCCTCGACTTAAAGGACGCATACTTTCATATTGCGATAATTCCTCGGCACAGGCGTTACCTCAGGTTTCTCGTGGGCAACGCTCATCTACAATTTATGGTTCTGCCCTTTGGTCTGTCAGCAGCCCCAAGGGTCTTCACGAAGTGCATGGCAGTCGTGGCTGCCTTCCTACGCAGGCACGGGATCCAGGTGTTTCCCTACCTGGACGATTGGCTCATCAAGGGCAGGTCCAGAGCGCAAGTGGAGGCTCAGGTGGCCTTTGCCAGGCAAACCTTCTTCGAGCTCGGCCTCTTACTCAACGAGGCCAAGTCCACACTATCTCCAACCCAAAATATCGAATTCATAGGAGCGGTTCTGGACTCGACACACGCCAGAGAGCATATCTCCCAGAGGCCAGATTCCGGACTATATCCAACCTTATCCTTGGCCTCCAACGTTACCCCACCACCACAGCAAGAAGCTGCCTCAAATTACTAGGGCACATGGCAGCATGTACCTACGTGGTGAGACACGCCAGACTCAGACTGCGCCCACTCCAGTCTTGGTTGGCACGGGTTTATCGGCCAGTCAGGGACTCCCTAGAATCGGTGGTGACGTTACCTCGGCCGGTGCTGGACTCCCTTCAATGGTGGCTC